CTAGTGCAACTAATTCAAAAGACATCTGAGAAGAGAAATGTGTGATCTGTGCTGAATGACAAACTAAAGCTTTGGCGTCAGGTACCTCTTCAGGTCTGGTCTTTGCCTTCTGAGGGAATGCTGCCTTGCCATCTTGGCATTGCATTCACACCAATAAGACAGCTGTGATACAGTACATTAATAACTTCGAACAAATAGATTGCATAATGCACTTTTTAAGTGTGGAGTTGGGTTGGGGGGAGAGGGTGTCACTGGTGTGGGGTGGAGGCTGGCGTGCCTAATTGTTTCACGGGGTGGCACATGTCATGTTTAATTTGCGGGGTGCCCATTATTTCCCAGTTCCAGCGCATTTATTTTCCGTCCATGAGCATTCAAAATACACTATTAAAATCTGTCACCTTGCCAAATTACTTTCCATAAATCATCTGCTGCTCGTCTGATCTGGGTGAAAAAGCAAAAATCTTCCGCGTGACCTTCAGTTAAAGGGCCGAGGTTGCAAACAGTTGCAAAAAAAAAACAGCTTGTTCGTCGGGCAGTTAGAAGTAAAGCAAGTCAGAAATGTAACCTTGGGCTCATTATGCAAGGTTCATTTGCATATAAATTAGAATATCATTGGAGACACGAAGCACTACCTGCATTGGTGATCCAAGACTTGTCAGGCCCACAGTCGAGGCCTGCTCTTCTGCTGGTGCCCAATAATTTATAATAATTTAATGTCTTTCATTAATCATCATTTATTTTGCCTGTTTGCATCAGTGCTGTGTATTACCAGCTCACGCCTACCATGAATGTACACTGAATGTGCCTCTGACAGAGCCATATTAGCCTGTGCCTCACCAAGCATTAGTTTACATGATCAGTTAATGTAATAAAAATTTCAATTTTCACCTGAACATAAATCAAAATCAGATCCACTTTACAATACTGTAAAACTTTCTGGGGATCTCGAAGGGCTAATATTGCAAGTCACTACAGACTCAGCCTTACACCGCTGACAATAGAGAATGCCACATCTTAAAAAAAAGTAGAAGTTTTGTGTGGCTGCACTACTCCAGTCAAGTCTATCACAAAGTGAAATGTCTGGCTGCTTTCTCCTGTCTCCTTTTCCTTGTTAGCTTGATGGCTTCTCCTGGTATTGATGTTCAGTGACGAGGAAGGCACATTCTGCAGTGTTAGCACCAGCGGTGCTAATTTATGTTGGGGAGCTTGAGCTTGTTAGCCTCCAGGGCAGATGGCTCATACTGGCTTGGTATGGGACTTGAGGATGTCCAATTCAATATAGGTGGGAAGGATGAGAAAATAAGTCGAAAGGACTGATTTCCCCAACTGTGCTGTTTTAAGAGCTGCTTCAATTCTGTCTGTGAATGGGAGGGTTACCATAGTGATTAGAACGAGTGCCAGGTTGATCTCATTGACTATGAGATCCCTGATTGGGGTTATTAATGCGGGCCAATCAGGGAGCCCTGGTTGACAGATAGAGCTCTCCATCACCGACGCTCAGTAGCAGCAGTGTGTACTTTCTACAAGATGCACTGCAGAAGTTCACCAAACATCCTCAGACAGCACCTTCGAAACCCATGACTGCTTCCATCCAGGAGGACAAGAGCAATGGATATACGGGAACAACACTACCTTCAAGCTCCCCTCCAAGCCACTTACCATCCAGACTTGGAAATATATTGCCTTTCCTTCATTGTTGCTGGGTCAAAATCCCAGAATTCCCTCCCTAAAAGTATTGGTGTCAACTCACAGCAGGTGAATTGTGGCAGTTCAAGAAGGCAGCTCACCACCACCATCTCAAGGGCAACTAAGGACGAGCAATAAATGCCGGTGAGTCAGCAACGTTCACATCCCACAAATGAATAAAATGAATAAAAAAATATAAACCGGAGATTCAGAAGGCCTCCTCAGTCTGGAGACTGGCTCTGAGCTGGCTGGTTAGAGCCCACTTACCATGCACGTGTTCATAAAGGGTGACTTGGTGATGGGATACCGGCCTTTGGGCACTTATTTCTGTTGCTAAGGCTTCAAGCCTGCAGCCAGATCTCCAGTACAGTGCTGGTAGGATGGAAAAGTTGATTAAAACTATTGAGCACTTTGTAAAATACATTATTTGAACCATTCTGTTTATTAGCTCACAACTGGAGATGGGGAGACCAAACACAGAGAGGGCAACTGCTTTGTGAAACACCGCCATCCAATCCCGACCGGTAAAGATGAACATATTGGACAATCAAAGTTGGGGGTCAAGCAATGGGAGACAGAGAGTCATGGCCATCAGGAGCTCAACCAATAAGAGTCATCAACCCAAGGAAGCAGCCTGGTACTATTCTGATTTCAATGCGCAGCCTGAGCACTGCCTATAACTTCACTTCAATAACTGATCCCTCAGTCAACGGGACAGAGGTAACATCATTTTAGTTTGGCTTACAGTTGTCTGGAGCAAAGCAGACTTTGGGTGAACCGCTCCTGACTTACCAACAATCGTGACAAATGAAGCATTTCACCTTTCAAGTTAATCGCTCAGAACTGTAAGGCCCTCAAAAGGGGTCAATAAGAAAGGCAACATCCCTCTCTGAGCTTTGCCAGGTTTCAGAGATGTACAGCTTGGAATCAGACCCTTTGGTCCAACTCGTCCATGTCGACCACATATCCTAAATTAATCTAGTCCCATTTGCAAGCATTTGGCCCATATCCCTCCAAATCGTCCCTATTCATGTACCCATCCAGATGACTTTTAAATGTTGTAATTGTACCAGCCTCCACCACTTCCTCCCACAGCTCATTCCATACATGTACCACATTCTGCATGAAAAGGTCCCTTTTCAATCTTTCCCCTCTCACCTTAAAATTAGACTTGTTGAGGATCAGGCAGGGCAGCTGGTACATGGAAGGGAATGAATCTGTCTAGTCGAGTTGAAATTGTACCCTGTGACACCAGGAATAATTATGCTTTTACTGTTGCTTGTAAATTACCCTGCGCTTTATGATAACCACACTTTAAAAGAAATGATCAAAGCATTTGTTCTACTCAGGTGCACAATTGGCCAAAGCCTGTTCATCTTGGAGTTAGAGCTAACCTAAGTTAACATACCAATGAAGGTGCTGCATTGTTGCAGATGCTGTCCTTCCGATAAAAGGCAAGGTAGAT